CTGAGTAGCTGGGATTACAGGCACGTGCCACCATGCCCAGCTAATTTTTTGTATTTTTAGTAGAGACGGGATTTCACCATGTTGACCAGGATGGTCTCCATCTCTTGACCTCGTGATCCACCCGCCTCGGCCTCCCAAAGTGCTGGGATTACAAGCTTGAGCCACCGCGCCCGGCCCTGTTTTGAATCTTTATGGCTGTTGAGACTTTTATTGAAACATAGGACCCAGGCAAGTTTTGTTAATGTTCTAGAGATATCACTGTAGATTTTGATGTTTTGGTATTTGAAGGTCTTCAGTTACCTTCTGGACTAGTTTGTAGTCAGTTTTATTTTTCTTTTCTTTTTTTTTTTTGTTTTTTTGAGCCAGGGTTTTTTCCTGTCACTCAGGATGAAGTGCAGTGGCATGAACACAGCTCACTGTAATAGCCTCGATCTCCTGGGCTCAAGCAATCCTCCTGCCTCATTCTCTCAAGTTGCTGGGATCACAGGTGTGTACCATGCCCAGCTATTTTTTTTTTTTTTTTTTTTTTTTAATCATAGAGATGAGGTCTCACCATCTTGCCCCGGCTGGTCTGGAATTCCTGGGCTCAAGCAGTCTTCCTGCCTTGGCTTCCGAAAGTGCTGGTATGACAGAAGCCAACCACCATGGCCTGCCTGTAGTCAAATTTTAAGAAGTATTCTTCAGTATCTTTATTGAGATATAATTTGCATACCATGCAATTCACCCATTTAATGTGTACCAAATCCTTTTGCAAATGTGATAATTTTTTTTTTTTTTTGAGACCAAGTCTTGCTCTGTCGCCCAGGCTGGAGTGCAGTGGCACAATTTCGGCTCACTGCAACCTCTGCCTCTCAGGTTCAAACAGTTCTCTGCCTCAGCCTCCTGAGTACCTGGGATTACAGGCGCATGCCACCATACCTGGCTAATTTTTGTATTTTTAGTAGAGATGGAATTTCACCACGTTGACCAGGCTGGTCTCGAACTCCTGACTTCAGGTGATCTGCCCACATTGGCCTCCCAAAGTGCTGGAATTATAGGGGAGAGCCACCGCACACAGCCTAAGCATGATAATTGTGTGTTCAGGCGCACGTGTGAGATGTGGTACTATGGAACCATGGTATGAGGTCGGCACGTGACCTGTCTGACATGAGAAAAGGACAAAATAATAAATAAATGGTACCAATTCAACAGTTCTCAGTAAATTTACAGGGCTATGAAATCATCAGCACAATCTAATTTTGTTCCCCCTAAAGAAACTGAGTCCTAATTTGCAGTGAATCTCTATTTCCTCCTCCCTCCCAGCCTCTGTCATTTCTCCTGCCTTATGCTTGATGGAAAGAGTATAGTTTCCACTCTTACAGGATTTCTGCCTGTAATCCCGGGTACTCGGGAGGCTGAGGTAGGAGAATCATTTGAACCCGGGAGGCAGAGGTTGTAGTGAGTTGAGATCGTGCCACTGCACTCCAGCCTGGGCAACAGAGCAAGACTTGGTCTCAAAAAAAAAAAAAAAAAAAAAAAAAAAAAAATGATCACACTTACAAACTACTAAGGGATCTGGTACATGTTAAATGGGTGAATTGCATGCTATGCAAATTATGTATCAAGTTTCCACACTTGTTCATTATTCAAACCTGCTATGTTATTGCTAATTTGTTTGCTTGTTTCTGAGAGGTGTGTAAAAAACTTACACCAAGATCATGGATTCAACAGTTTTTCTTTGAATTGCATACTTTTTTTGCTTTACAAATTTTTTTTTTTTTTTTTTTGAGACAGAGTCTCACTCTGTCATCCAGGCTGGAGTGCAGTGGTGTGATCTCGACTTAACTGCAGCCTCGACTTCTTGAGCTCAGATGATTCTCCCACCTCAGCTTCCCTAGTAGCTGGAACTACAGGAGCCAACCCTTACGCCTGGCTAATTTTTTGTATTTTTTCTAGTTGTAGGGTTTCACTGTGTTGCCTAGGCTCGTCTCAAACTTCTGAGCTCAAGTAATCTGCCCGCCTTGGCTTCCTAAAACGCAGGGATTACGGATGTGAGCCACTGTGCCTGGCATTTTTAAAAAAATTTTGAGGGGCCGGGCGCGGTGGCTCAAGCCTGTAATCCCAGCACTTTGGGAGACCAAGGCGGGTGGATCACGAGGTCAAGAGATCGAGACCATCCTGGTCAACATGGTGAAACCCCGTCTCTACTAAAACTACAAAAAATTAGCTGGGCATGGTGGCGCGTACCTGTAATCCCAGCTACTCAGGAGGCTGAGGCAGGAGAATTGCCTGAACCCAGGAGGCGGAGGTTGCGGTGAGCCGAGATCGCGCCATTGCACTCCAGCCTGGGTAACAAGAGCGAAACTCCGTCTCAAAAAAAAAAAAAAATTTTGAGACAGGGTCTCATTCTGTCACCCAGGCTAGGGTGCAGTGGTGTGATGACAGCTCACTCTATCCTCAACCTCCTGGGCTCAAATGATCCTCCCACCCCTGCCTCCTGGATAGCTGGGACTACAGGCACACACCACTACACCCAGCTAATTTTTTGTGTGTTTTTTGTGGAGACAGGGCTTCACCATGTTGCCCAGGCTGCTTTTTTATGTTTTGAAGTTAGGTTAGGCACAAATAGCTGTAGGAAGGTTGTGCCTTTCTGGAGTTTCTCTCTGTGATCAGTGAAAATTTCTTTTGCATGAATACTGCTTTTTGCTCTACAGTCCATTTTGTCTGATATTACTGTTGCTACACCAGCTTTTTTAAAGTTAGAATTTGCCTACTGTGTCTTTTTCTCCTCTGCTCCCAGCCTTTCCTGTCATCATACTTTATTGCTTCTTAGAAACAGTATATTGCCCGTTTTTAGTGTTTAATTTAATCTCAGCAACTCTTTCTTTTAACAGGTAAGTTTGATTTTTTTTTGTTGAGGCCTCTTAGATTTGAATTCTTTTGTATTCTTTAATTTCCTGTGCCTTATCTTTGTGCCTTTATCCTCCTTTTCTGCCTTCCATCAAATTGACCAGATTGATAAAGCTTTCCTCTTCTGGTTTTTAAGTTATATGTTTTATTTATTTATTTATTTATTTAGGATAAGGTCTCGCTCTGTTGTCCAGGCTGGCATGCAATGGTGCAATCACGGCTTATTCCAGCCTTGACCTCCTGGGCTCAGGTGATCTTCCCATCTCAGCTTCCAGTGTAGCTGGGACTACAGATGTGTGCCACCACGCTCAGGGAATTTTTATAGAGATGGGATCTCCCTATGTTGCCCAGGCTGGTCTTGAACTCCTGGGCTCAGACGATCTGCCCACCTCTCCCTCTCAAGATGCTGGGACTGCAGGCTTATTTATGTTCTTTAGTGGCTACCCTTAGATTTATAACATGAGAACTAGATTTTTTTTTAAAGTCTGAAGTTAATTAGGCTCTGTCCTCTATCCAGACAACTGAAGGATCTCAGAGCCCTTTAACTTCAAGCCATCACAACCTTCTGTTATTGTTTAGTTCCGTAGTATTTTAATTCTGTTTTGTTTCAAAACCCTTCAGCAATGATTTTTTAGCTTCTGAACTCAATGGGGTTGTTTGTTTTTTTCCCCTGAGACAGAGTCTTGCTCTGTCAACCAGGCCAGAGTGCAGTGGTGTCATGTCGGCTCACTGCAACCTCTGCCTCCCGGGTTCAAGCAATTCTTCGCCTCAGCCTCCCAGCTAGCTGGGATTTACAGGCATACATCACCAAGCCCAGCTAATTTTTGTATTTTTTTTTTTTTTTTGTCGAGATGGGGTTTCACTGTGTTGGTCAAGCTTGTCTTGAACTCTTGACCTCATGATCCACCTGCCTCAGCCTCCCAAAATGCTGGGATTACTGGCATGATCCCCCGTGCCCAGCCCTCTTTTTGTTTTTTCCATAGAGACAGGGCCTCTGTCTGTCGCCTAGTCTGGAGTACAATCATAGCTCACTGCAGCCTTGAACTCCAGGGCTCAAGCGGTCCCCCTGTCTCCACACATTGCAGATGTGCGTCAGGCTTTTTTTTTTTTTTTTTTTTTGTAGAGACAGGGTCTTGCTATGTTACCCAGGCTGGTCTTGAACTCCTGGGCTTAAGCAATCCTCCTGCTTTGGCCTCCCAAAGTGCTAAGACTACAGGCTTGATGACTTCGCCCAGCCTACAGTGCTTATTCAGGTAGACTCAGTGCTTTTTGGGTCCTGGCCTGGTTCTCTTTCTCTGCATGCTCCTTACTCACCTCCTTACTGAGCCACATTCTTTCCACAAGGGCCTCTCACTGGGAAATTCTTCCAGCCTTTGCCTCAAAATGTGTTTTTCTCCCACTGGTGCTTTTGAGTGATAGTATAGCTAGGTATAGAAATGTAGGATGCCAGGTCTGCAGAGGAATGCTTGTTTCATTGTACCTCCTTGCACAGAGCACTCTCTGTTTAAGAAAAAGTATTCATTTGAGAGGTGAAAATGCTCTTTCACTTTTTGTTTTCTTTGTTTTATTGAGATGGAGTCCCATTCTGTTGCCCAGGCTGGAGTGTGCAATGATGTGGTCTTGGCTCACTGCAACCTCTGCTTCCCAGGTTCAAGCAATTCTCCTGCCTCAGCCTCCCAATTAGCTGGGACTATTGGCCCGAGTCACCACACCTGGCTAATATTTTGTATTTTAAGTAGAGACAGGGCTTCTGTCTCTACTTATCTCTACTTTGTTGGCTAGGCTGGCCTCAAACTCCTGAGCTCAAGTGATCCTCCCACCTTGGCCTCCTAAAGTGTTGGGATAACAAATGTGAGCCACCATGCTCAGCTAATGTTTTATATTTTTAGTAGAGATGGGGTTTTGCCATGTTGGCCAGGCTGGTCTTGAACTCCTGAGCTCAAGTGGCCTCTCATCTCAGCCTTGTAAAGCGCTGGGATTATAGGCATGAGCCGCCACACTTGGCTTTGTCTTTCACTGTAATTTGCATTTATTTCTCGTGATCAGTGAGACAGAACATTTTTTTAGCATCTTTGGCTATTTGTGTTTCTAGTTCTGCCTTTCACCTGTTGGTAAGGTGTCGGCTTTCTAGTTTTCCTGCCCTTATTAAATTAAAATTAAGAGTCATTTGCCATATTTGTTGCAAATACTTTTTCCCAGTTGGATCCCTAAATCTAACACCCTGCAAGAAAGGGGTCTGGGAATTCCTAGAAGAAGAGCGGTCGCCCAGGGGCACGTGTGGTGATGTGCCCCTGGTGACCCCTGGGTTGGGCCCGTTCCCACAGAGTCCAGTCTCTTGCTGCTGCAGGAGCACCCCTGCCTGGTGGAGCTGCTGTCCCACGTGCTGAAACTCCAGGACCTGAGTCCCGGGGTCCTCTCCTTCTCACTCCGCGTGGCAGGAATCTTCGCAGCCCAGGAAAACTGCTTCCAGTATCTTCAGGTGAGCCTGGGGCCTCCTACCTGAGTGTCCCATGGAGAGGTAGGCAGCCTTCTCTTCTCACAGCCAGGTGGGGCGTTTATAGCCATCACCATCCCAAGTCCCAGCAGCCTGCCCTGACCCTGTGTCCTCACTAGAACTACACATTTTTTACTCCCTGACTGTAGCTCCCTTTGAAAAATTCAACCGGAGTGATGTTGGGGCTAAGGATTTGAAGTTTTCTGAAATAAGATGACTGGGATTGGCTCCTGGCTCTGACCTGCTAGCTGACCTTCCCTACAGCCGTAAGCCTCAGTTACTTCCTAGGACGGAGACAGGAGTCATAGCTGTGCCATGGGGTTGTCGTGAGGACCAAACAAGACTGCATATTCTGCACCTCCAGCTACCCAGCCTGCAACTGAATGAATGACTAATGAGAATGTCTTTTTTTTTTCTTTTGGCGGGGATTCTCACCACCATACTAATGAGGAGAGAAAGTCTTTTTTTAAAAAAAAATTAACTAATTTTATATACTTTTATCAGTATTATTATTTTGAGATGGAGCCTTGCTCTGTCGCCTAGGCTGGAGTACAGTGGTATGATCTCGGCTCACTGCAACCTCTGCCTCCCAGGTTCAAACAGTTCTCCTGCCTCCGCCTCCTGAGTATCTGGGATTACAGGCATGGGCCACCATGCCCAGCTAATTTTTGTATTTTTAGTAGAGACGGGGTTTCACCATATTGGCCAGGCTGGTCATGAACTTCTGACCTCAAGCGATCCTCCTACCTCGGTCTCCCAAAGTGTTGGGATTACAGGCGTGAGCTACCGTGTGCGGCCTTTTTTTTTTTTTTTTTAAATAGAGAGAGTCCTGCTCTGTCACCCAGGCTGGAGTGCAGTGATGTGATCACAGCTCACTGCAGCCTTGACCTCCTGGGCTCAAGCGATTCTCCCGAGTAGCTGGGTCCACAGATGCATGCACCACACCCGGCTACATTTTTTATCTTTGGTAGAGATGGGTCTCACTGTGTTGCCCAGGCTGGTCTCAAACAATTCTCCTGCCTCAGCCTCCTGAGTATCTGGGATTACAGACATGTGCCACCACGCCCAGCTAATTTTTATATTTTTAGTAGAGACGGGGTTTCCCCATGTTGGCCAGGCTGGTCATGAACTCCTGGCCTCAAGTGATCCTCCTACCTCGACCTCCCAAAGTGCTGGGATACAGGCATGAGCCACTGCACTCAACCAAGTATTTTCTGCACAGCAACAAGGCATGGGAGCTCAGACAGCCCTCCAGAGTTGTGTCTTCCAGCTTCAAAAGCCCCAGACAGGCACCTCTGAGTCTGTCAGGTGATGCCTGGTGTGAGCTTCAGGGCCCTTGCCTATCTAGCATGATAGCTTTTCTTGGTGCCCCACAGGCCCTTATCAGGTTGCCCGAAGGCACATCCAGTACTATTAGGTTGCCATTCATGGTGCCTTCCAATTTAGTACCTACAGGCTCCCTAGCTGCCCAGCCAGGCACCATCTTGCTACAGGACAGACATTCCAAGACACCCTAGGCCACTGCTGTCCAGTGAATCCGAGGGCCCTTGTCTGTCAGCAGCTGGTATGAAAGTGTCCTCCAGGCAGGCGCAGTAGCTCATGCCTATAATCCCAGCACTTTGGGAGGCCAAGGTGGGCAGATCACCTGAGGTCAGAAGTTTGAGACCAGCCTGACTAACGTGGTGAAACTCCGTCTCTACCAAAAATGCAAAAATTAGCTGAGCGTGGTGGGCGCCTGTAATCCCAGCTACTCAGGAGGCTGAGACAGGAGAGTTGCTTGAAACCAGGAGGTGGAGGTTGCAGTGAGCAGAGATCATGCCACTGTACTCCAGCCTGAGAAAAAGAGTGAGACTGTGTCCCAAAAACTGTCCTCCAAAAGTGCCTCCACCAGCCCTGGAAAACTGAAAACCTATCTCTGTTCTACTCCACATCCCTGGAAACCTGCCAGGTCTCCCCGCCTCTTTTTCTGCTTCCCAGCAGGGGGAGCTGCTACCAGAGCTCTTTGGGGAGACAGGCCCTCTTGGCCAAGCAGCCTGGGCCGTGCCCACTGTGCGCAGCGGCTGGATCCAGGGCCTGCGCTCCCTGGCACAGCACCCTAGCGCCCTGCACTTTCTGGCCGATCACGGTGAGTATGCCCACACCCTGCCCCATCTCTTGTCCTGCCTGATGCTGTGTAACCCCAGGGGAGTCACTGCACCTTGCTGAACCTGGGCATCTTATCTGTGTGATGTCACAGGATTGTTGCGAAGAATGCGAGTAACAGTAGGGGTGTCAGTGTCTTCTGGTTTGTAGGTCAGCCCCTAGGAGCCAGGGTGGCTTCCTCAGCCACTTACAGATCAGTCGTGAGGACCCAATCTTTGAAACTATTTGGGAGTCAGGCATGGTGGTGCACGCCTATAGTCCCAGATACTTGAGAGGCTGAAGCAGGAGGATCGCGTGAGCCCAGGGGTTCAAGGCTGCAGTGAGCAGTGATTGAGCCACTGCACTCCAGCCTAGGCAACGGAGAAAGACCATGTCTCAAAAAACACGAAACAAAGCTGGGCATGGTGGCGCACGCCTGTAATTCCAGCACTTTGGGAGACTCAGGTAGATGGATCACCCGAGGTCAGGAGTTCAAGACCAGCCTGGCCAATATGGTGAAACCCTTTTGCTACAAAATTGCCAGGCGTAATGGCAGGTGCCTATACTATAGTCCTAGCTACTCGGGAGGCTGAGATGGGGTGGGAGAATCGCTTGAACCTGGGAGGCAGAAATTGCAGTGAGCCAAGATTGCACCATTGCAGTCCTGCCTGGGTGACTCTGTCTCAAAAAAATAAATAAATAAAACGAATTGGGAAGTATCACAAGCTGTGTGTGTTTAACGCTCGGGGGGAGGAGGTGCTTGTCTCCAGGGAGCTTCGGTTCCTGTTCTCTTTTGCTTTTGGGTTCAGGGGTGTTTGGGGGCATCTTGGGGTGCCCTCTGCTGTTTGCATCTTCCCCGATGCCCTGAAGCCCTGGATTAAGGTTGCTGTCTGCCCCCCCCTTTTTTCCTCTCTTCCCCTGCCCCCTGCCCAGGTGCAGTCGACACCGTCTTCTCCCTGCAGGGAGATTCCAGCCTGTTTGTGGCCTCGGCGGCCAGTCAGCTCCTGGTGCACATCCTGGCTTTGTCCATGCGAGGTGGAGCCAAGGAGCAGCCCTGCCTGCAGGGGGATGACTGGCCCACGTGTGCCCAGAAGATCATGGGTCACGTTGAAGAGTCCTTGTGCTCCACAGTCACCCCCAAGGTCACTCAGGCCCTGAACATCCTGACCACAACCTTTGGCCGCTGCCAGAGCCCCTGGACGGAAGCCCTGTGGGTGCGGCTGAGTGCCCGCGTGGCCTGTCTGCTCGAGAGAGACCCCATTCCCGCCGCACACTCGCTCGTGGACCTGCTTCTCTGTGTGGCTCGGTCAGGCCCCCGGGATGCAGCTGGGGGGCCTGGGTGGGCAATTGTTTTCCTAGGAAGATGCCCAGGCATGTCCCATTGGCAGCCAGAGACTCCCTGAGGACGTGGCCTTCAGTGAACGGACACCTGGGTGACCTTGAAACCTTCATGGGGAAAGGCCTGTGTTGGGCTGGGCACCTCCAGCCCCAGGGCCATGATAGTCTCAGCCAGGCCTCAAATGGGGATGGGGGAATAATTTATCTCTCTGGGGTCTCCCTGCAGTTCTCCTGTGTTCGGTTCTTCCAACGGCAGCCTGTGGGAGATGGTGGCACAGGCTTTGAGCTGCCTGGGCCCCGCCCATGTGGGACCTCTGGCTCTGGGCATCCTGAAGCTCGAGCACTGGTATGGGCTGGGGTGCATTTCATGCCGAGGCGGGTGCTGGGAGCCGGGGTAGGCAGGGAGGTTGAGAGTGTGGCCCTCATGCAGGGGAGTTCCAGACACCAGGGACAGTCAGGAGGCCATGTGGGACGTTACTGGGCTATGCATAGGTTATGTGTGGCAGCTGTGCAGGGCATGACTGGGCTGTGCGTTGGTAACTTGTGGCGGCTATGCGGGACGTGACTGGGCCATGCATGAGTTAGGCGTGGAGGCCATATAGGGTGTGACTGGGCTGTGTTTGGGTTGCGTGTAGCAGCAGCCGTGTGGGGCATGACTGGGCTGTGCATGAGTTATTCGTGACAGCTGTGCAGGCAGGTGGCTTCTGCAGGATCTTTAGTGACAGAATAATTGTTTCAGACCAAAGCTTTGTGAGATCCCCAGAGGTGAGAAGGATGGTGGAGCTGCTCTGCTCAGAGCAGGATGGTCCTACCCCCGTCCTGCGCTCTGCTGCTCTCCCACCTGCCCCTACCACGGCCTTGGTTGGGGTTGCTGAAGCTCCCCAGCATGCACACCATTCAGGTGGGCCTGGGGGCGCTGGAACAGCAGAGCCTGGGGTCAGGACAGGTGGGAAGGCCGTGGATGGCCTGCCAGGCTTCTAGGTGGGCTCACGTTAGGGGTGGAAGTGACCTCAGGACCCACTGTCCAAGGGCTCAGGGGTACAGTGAGAGCCTGGCTCTGCACTCCGGGGTCTCCAAATGCTTAGGAAAGAGTGGACTGGGGGAGGATGGAGCAGCAGGCCCAGCCCTGGCAGAATGCACTGTGTGGGCACTACTCCCACCGGGCCCAGACTAGAGGGCAGGTCCTTCCCACAGAGTGGATGCTGTACAAACCTGGGGATACCTGGGAGCCTGGGGGCGCCCGTCCCTGACCCCCTGAGTGGGCACTGCCCCCGCCTGGGCCCAGGCCTGAGGGCAGGTCCCTCCCACAGAGTGGATGCTGTGCATACCTGGTGATACCCGGGAAGCTGGGGGTGCCCCATCTCTGTCCCCCTGAGTAGGCACTGCCTCTCTGGGCACATGGCCAGGCCTTCCTGGAGGCCCCTTATTGTCTAATTCTAAGGACATCGGCTGTGTCAGGCCCATATCTTTTGTCAGGCCTATCCGCCTCTCACCCCTCTGTCCCATGGCATCCCCTGGCCAGTGGCTTGCCTAGAAACTTTCTCTGGGGTGTCCCGATCCCCTGGCTGATTTGCCCCAGGCTTGTTGGGGACGTTAGGAGCACAGCCAGCTTGCCTCATGGCCAAAGAAGCAGCACTCACCGTGTTTGTCTCCAGTCCACAGGCATTGAGAACCCAGGCCTTCCAGGTCCTCCTCCAGCCCCTGGCCTGTGTCCTGAAGGCCACGGTTCAGGCCCCCGGACCCCTAGGTACACTGCTCAGAAAGGGCTGGGAGGGCAGAATCTGGGTCCCTGTGGTTAGGGGAAGGGAGATGGAGGTGGGTACCAGGCTCACCGCCCCACTTTAATCACGCCCAGGCCTCCTACTAAGGGCAAAGGGGACCAGAGCCGTGGCCATCACCCTGGTGAGCTGCTGCTCTGCACCCAGGTCCTAACCTCTGCCATGGGTGGTGACCATGGGGTGGTTGGTGACCATGGGGTGGCTGAATTGCCCTCTCAGAGAGCTCTTCCCGGCTTGGCCCCCAGGCTTGCTGGACGGGATGGCAGATGACGCCATGATGGTAGACGCTCTCCTGGCCTCCAAATCCTCCTGCGCAGGCCTCCTGTGCCGTACCCTGGCTCACCTGGAGGAGCTGCAGCCGCTGGTAGGTGTGGCCTGGCCCTCATGCCACGCCAGCAGTGGGACCACGCCAGCAGTGGGACCGCAGCCTTGGCTGATGCCCCACACCCTCGAAGCCCAGCACCCCTGTGTCCAGGCTGGCAGTGGGATCACAGCCTTGGAAGACGCCCCCGTCCCTCACAGCCCCAGCGCCCAGCCCCAGTGTCCATGCCAGCGGTGGGACCACAACCTTGACTGATGCCCCCTACCCCTGTCACAGCCCCAGCTGATGCCCACCACCCTTCACAGCCCCAGCATCCCTGCGCCCATGCCAGCACTCGGACTGCAACCATGGCTGATGCCCCCCACCCCATGTGCCTTGAAGCCCCAACACCCCTGCATCCACACTGGCAGTGGGACCACAACCTTGGCTGATGTCTTCCTCACTCACAGCCCCAGCGGCCCTCGCCATGGCCCCAGGCGACCCTGCTTGGGGCTGCAGTGACTGTCCTGCGGCTCTGTGATGGCTCAGCTACTCCCGTCTCCAGTGTGGGGGGCCACCTCTGTGCAACCCTGGCGGGCTGCGTCCGGGTCCAACGAGCAGCTCTTGACTTCCTGGGGATGCTGTCACAGGGTACAAGTGAGTGTTTCCTGCACGGCTTTGGTGTTGGGTGAGCCCCGAGCCCCCAACTCTTTCTTTCTGCTTGGAGACGACTGGGAAATGCCATCTCCCTGTGTTTCTTCTCTGAGGTGGGTGCTGGGGGTGTAGGGTCCGTGCAGGAGGTTTCAGCTGGCGGATGAGGCCTTGTCCTGCTTCTTCCCTGAGTTGACATTTTAGGGTCCTGGGATGGAGATGGGGTGGTTTATCCGATCACCTCTGTCTCAGGCCCCCAGGAGCTGGTGACACAGGTGCTTGCTGTCCTCCTGGAGTGCCTCAAGAGCCCTGGCTCCAGCCCCACGGTACAGTGGTGGGGATAGGGAGCGAGGGGAGGAGGGAGGCAGAGGCAGTGGGATCCACCCCCAACTCTGCCCCAGCCCCATGGAGGCCTCTGGGGTCGGGGCCCTGACATAGGGCCACAGAGTCGCTGCTCAGAGAGCTTCAGGACACAGGTGGCTGCATGTGTTGGGCCCATGGCCTTTTGTTGGTGAAGATTCATTAGTGCACAGGGGTCTGTGGGGCTGTGGGGAGAAGGGGCACTGGCCAGTGGCCTACAGGGAATTCTGGACAAGGGAATTGAAGTGGCACCAGGACGGCCCCGGGCGTGGGCTCCAGGCCTCCCTAAGCGCCGCCTATGAACATGCCCACTGCATAGCCCCTTGAGGAGCTGGGCCCTGGTGGGCACAGACCTTGTACCACCTGCCACTGAGCAGACAGCGGGCAACTTTAGAGGAAGGGCCTGGGGCTTCTTGGGATCTTAAGGAAAAGTACCTGGATAATTGGTCATGTTTTAATGCAGAAATCCCACTGCCTGGGTAGTAGGTCTCCTGGCGAGGGCTGCCGCCTCCTCCTGCTTATAGTCTGGGAATCCAGTTCTGCAGTGGATTCTGCCTTATTAAAATCAGCCCAGGAGGGCACAGGGCTCACAGCTGTGATTATAGGGCTTTGGGAGGCTGAGGTGGAAGGATCAATGGAGCCCAGGAATTTGAGGCCAGCCTGGGCAACATAGCAAGATCCCATCCGTACAAAAAAAAAATATAAAAATTAGCCCCAGGGGTATAGTTCACGGGTAGAGCATTTGATTGCAAAAATTAGCCGGGCGTGGTGATGTGTGCCTCAAGCCCCAGCTACTCATGAGACTGAGGCAAGAGGACTGTTTGAGCCCAGGAGGTGAAGGCTACAGTGAGCTGTGATTGCTGCACTGTAGTCCAGCCTGGGCAATACAGTGAGACCCTGTCTCTAAGGGAAAAAAAGGAAACCCAGTGTTCCCTTCTTCCTCCACCCCCTGTCCCCATCTGTCTCTGGAGCTGGGGTGGCACAGGCAAGGGGGACAGGCAGACAGCTTGCCTCTCCGCCTCTTGTGGCCCTACAGCCCACCCTGTCTGTTCCAGGTTCTGAAGAAGGCCTTCCAGGCCACGCTCAGGTGGCTCCTGAGCTCACCCAAGACCTCCAGCTGCTCTGATCTTGGCCCCCACATCCCGCAGTTCCTCAGAGGTAACCCACCCCTCGCAGGGGTGAATAGAGCTGGAGTCACAGGGGTGGGAGGCAGCAGGGGCTGGATGCGAAGGCTCGGCTGGCCCGAGGGCAGGGTGAGCCTGGCCTTAAGGTCGCCCTGACCCACCCCTTCCCGCTTCAGAGCTGTTCCTTGTGCTGCAGAAACGCCTGTGCAGCCCCTGCTGGGAGGTGAGGGACTCTGCCCTGGAGTTCCTGACCCAGCTGAGCAGGCACTGGGGAGGTGAGTGCTGGCAGGTGGAAGGGCCACCTTCCCCGCCTGTTGGGGGTTCACCAGCCAGTTACACTGGCAGCCTCTTGCTGGCTCTAGAAACCTGGGCCACGTGGGCCACGCACAGCAGGGCAGAGGCAGAGGCTGAGGCCTCAAGGCTGGGCCCTCGGTCACAGCTGTGTTGGGGGTGGAGGCTGAGGCCGAGGCCATGAGGCTGGGTCCTTGGTCACAGCCGCATGTGGCCACTTTGACCCCCAGGAGAGGCCGACTTCAGATGTGCTCTCCTGGCTTCAGAAGTACCTGAGCTGGCCTGGCAGCTCCTCCAGGACCCTGAGAGTTACGTCCGAGCGAGCGCAGTGACCGCCACAGGGCAGCTCTCTAGCTGGGGCCTGCACGCCCCTACCAGCCCCCAGCACGCAGTGGCCCGGCAGGTAGGAAGTAGTGGGTTCCTCGTCTGGCAACCCCCACCAGCCCCTAGCACGCAGAGGCCCAGCAGGTAGGAGGCAGCGGGTTCCTTGGCCAGTAGCCCCTGCCTGGCTGTCGTGTGTGCTTGCCTGCTTGCGGGTGGACGAGCGGCCAGCATCCAGCCTGGAAGCAACTGCTGCTGTGGCCAGCACCTGTGGGAACTACTGCCGAGGCCGTGGGGCTCTGCTGGGCTTGGGGCCCTGTGTTCTTTGCCTTCTGTCTCCCCAGCACCCCTCCACTTAGACGTGGTTACCTCCATTTGGCAGATGGATAAACTGAGGATTGGAGGGCAGTGTGCTCACAGCTCAGCACAGGAAGATGCCAGGGTGGGGTGTGGCCCTAGGCTGCATGGCTGGGGCCAGCTGCCCTAATGCACCCAGCATCCTATTGTGGAATCCCTACTCCTGCCACCCCACTGACCATCCCCACCCATCTTCTGTCCCCCAGAGCCTGCTCCGGGAGCTCCTGCGCATCCTCTCCGCAGACTCGGAGGGCTTCCCACGGAGGGCGGTTATGCAGGTCTTTACCGAGTGGCTACGGGACGGCCATGCTGATGTGACCCGGGACACAGAGCAGTTTGTGGCCACTGTGCTGCAGGTGGCGAGCCGGGACCTGGACTGGGAGGTCCGCGTCCAGGGCCTGGAGCTGGCTTTGGTGTTCCTGGGCCAGACATTGGGGCCACCGCATACCCACTGCCCCTATGCCGTGGCCCTACCCGAGGCGGCCCCAGCCCGGCCACTCACCGAGGCATTGAGGGCTCTTTGCCACGTGGGGCTCTTTGACTTCGCCTTTCGTGCCTTGTTTGACTGCGACCGCCCTGTGGCCCAGAAGTCCTGTGACCTCCTCCTCTTCCTGAGGGACAAGATTGCTTCATACAACAGCTTGCGGGAGGCCAGCCCCAACACCGACTCCGTGGAGGCTGCCCCGTGGAGGTGGCGGGCACATGAGCAGACCCAGCCCCAAGAGGACCAGGAGCCTGAGGCTGTGCTGGCCATGCTGAGGTCCCTAGACCTGGAGGGCCTGCAGAGCACACTGGCCGAGAGCAGTGACCATGTGGAGAAGAGCCCCCAGTCCCTCCTGCAGGACATGCTGGCCACAGGGGGCTTCCTGCAGGGGGATGAGGCCGACTGCTACTGAGCAGAGCTGGAGTCTGCCACTGGGGCCCAGGACCGAGGGAGGCGGTGCCTCATCCTTCTGTGGGACGTTGCTATCTCCAGGGCTCCAGCCGAGCCCAGCTGGCTGAGGGATCCTCGGGGGAAGCCAGGACCAGGAGAAAAGCAAGGTCGAGAAATCCCACATTTTGATGTATTAAAGAAATGACTCATTTCCTACTCAAAATAAATGGCATTGAAGTCTTTAGTCTATTTTGAGTTAATTTAATAATAGTCTGAGACAAGGGTCTAGTTTCATTCATTCATATGTGGATATCCAGTTTTCCCAGCACTATTGATTTTATTTTTATTTTTGTTTACTTATTTATTAGATAGAGTCTTGCTCTGTTACCCAGGCTGAAGTGCAGTGATGCGGTCTCAACTCACTGTAGCCTCTGCATCCCAGGCTCAAGTGATCCTCCCACCTCAGTCTCCCAAGTAGCTAGGATTACAGGCACACACCACTATGCCTGGCTACCTTTTCGGGGGTATTTTTTGTAGAGATAAAGTTTTGCCATGTTGCCCAGGCCGGTCTCAAACTCCTGAGCTTAAGTAATTTGCCTGCCTTAGCCTCCCACAGTGCTGAGATGATAGGCATGAGCCACCTCGCCCAGCAGTGTTTTAGTGTTTTGCAGATGTGGCCTTGCTCTGTGGCCCAGGCTAGAGTGTAGTAGCATGATCACAGCTCACTGCAGCTTCAACTTCCTGGGCTCAAGTCATCCACCTGCTTCATCCTCCCAAGTGGCTGGGACTATAGGCACTCACCACTATACTCTACAAATTTTTAAATTTTTTGTAGAGATAGTCTCCCTGTGTTGTCCAGGCTGGTCCTCTTTTATTTATTTATTTATTTATTTATTTATTTTTTGAGACGAAATCTTACTCTGTTGCCCAGGCTGGAATGCAATGGCTCAATCTCAGCTCATTGCAATCTCTGCCTCCTGGATTCAACTGATTCTCCTGCCTCAGCCTCCTGAGTAGTCTGGTCCTCTTTTATTAAAGTGACTGTCCTTTCCCCACTGTGTATTCTTGGTGCCCTTGTGAAAGACTAACTGATCATATATGTAAGGGTTTATTTCTGTACTCTCTGTTCCACGGGTCTGTGTGTTTGTTTTTATGCCAGTACCATACCGTTTTGCTTACTATAACTTTGTAGTATGCTTTGAAGTCAGGTAATGTGATGCCACCAGCTTTGTTCTTTTTCAAAATTGCTTTAGCTCTTAGGGGTCTTTTGTGGTTCCATATGAATTTTAGATTTGTTTTTTCAACTTCTGTGGAAAATGCCACTGGAATTTTGATGGAAATTTCCTGAGGCTATAGAGCACTTTGGGTAGTATGGACATTTTAAAAAGATTAGTTATTGTCATTCATGAACATGGGATATCCTTCCATTCATTTGTGTCCTCTTCAGTTTATTTCATCAGTGTCTTACAGTTTCAGCGTACACCTCTTTGGTTAAAGTTATTCCTGGGGGCCAGGCACAGTGGCTCATGCCTATAATTCCAGCACTTTGGAGGCCGAGGCAAGTGGATCACATAAGATCAGGACTTCGATACTAGCCTGGCCTCAAGTGATACACCCACCTCAGCCTCCCAAAGTGCTGGGATTACATGCATGAGCCACCACACCACATCCAGCCAAGCAGTTATTATCTTGCAGTGCATTGAAGCTTTTCAGCACATCCCAGCATCCCCTGACTTCTGTTGCTGTGTTCAGGAGTTTGGCTGTCAGTCTAGCATCTGGTCTTTCAAAGTAACCTCTTTTTCCTCTGGCTGCTTTTAAGATGTTTTTTTGAATTGTTCTTGGTTTTCTGCAATTTTACTATTATGTGTAGGTGAGAGTTTCTTTTTATTTATTCTGCTTGGAATTCACTGAGATTCTTGAATCTGTGGATCAGTGGTTTTGAGTTCTGGGAAATTCTTAGCCAGTATCCTTTCAAACATTCTCTCCTTTCTCCTCTCATCTTCTCTTACCCCACCTTTCTTTTTTTTTTTTTTGGAGACAGAGTCTCACTGTGTCACTCAGGTTGGAGTGCAGAGGTGCAGTCTCGGCATCTCATCTCACTGCAACCTCCGCCTCCCAGCTTCAAGTGATTCTCATGCCTCAGCCTCTCCAGTAGCTGGGATTACGGGTGTGCACCACCACACCTGGCTAATTTTTGTATTTTTAGTGAAGATGAGGTCTTACCTTATTGGCCAGGCTGGTCTCAAACCCCTAACCTCAGTTGATCCACCTGCCATGGTCTCCAAAAGTGCTGGGATTACAGGCATGAGCCGCTGCACCTGGCCTACTTTTTTTTCTTTTTAATTAGCTGGGCATGGTGGTATGCACTTGAAGTCCCAGCTACTTGGGAGGCTGAGGTGGAAGGATTGCTTAAGCCCAGGAGTTCAAGGCTGCAGTAAGCTGTGATCACACCACTGTGCTCCAGCCAGGGTGACAGAGACACTATGTCAAAACAAAAAATACATTTAGTGCTTGGAGTTCTCTGCATTCCTGGGCCTCAAATCTATGCTGGAGAAGACCGGTAGCTAACTTCTCAATAACTTTTTGCTTCTCTTAGCACCAAGGCAGTCTTTCCTGTGGGGGAGCAGGGCTAATTCCGATTCATTCTTAAAGAGTATAGCCCTTTAGGTGTTCAGGTTAAGATGGGAAGGGTTTTCTATAATGCTCCCCACTTTGGGGAGGACTGGCCCCGACTTCTGCCCCCTGACCCACAAGGCCAAAGAATGAGAACCCAAGTTTGCTGGTTTTGACAAATGCTCTCTGACAAAAGGGCACCTCCCAGGCAGCACAGCCGTGGACTGGCTTGCCCCACCGGGATGCAGCAGTGACATCAGCCCTGCTACCGGGCACATGTCCTTTCCTGGTGACAGCAGGCGGGGTGCCTGGACCAGCTGTTTCCCTGAAGACAAATACGCTGGGTGAAATATCTAAAGGCCATCACTTTAGCAATACTGAACAGCTGACAAGATAGCAGGCAACTAACTGCAAGGCCTCGTGCTGGTGGTAAATTGGATTCAGATACAAGGCCCTACCACGGGGGTCTGGGGAGCCTGGCTCTCAGCTCTGGCGTGGGGCAGCTCAGAGAGGGAGGGGCTCTTCAGATCAGTTGCCCCCTAGACAGTAACACTGAACCGCAGTACCTGATGAAAAGAGACTGCAGGGCCCAGCGTGGTGGCTCATGCTTGTAATCCCAGCACTTTGGGAGGCCGAGGCGGGTGGACGTCTTGAGCTCAGGAGTTCAAGATCAGCCTGGCCAACATGGTAAGAACCCATCTCTACTAAAAATACAAAAGTTAGCTGGGCATGGTGGTGGGTGCCTGCAATCCTAGCTACTGGGGAGGCTGAGGCAGGAGAATCGCTTGAACCCAGGAGGCAGAGATTGCTGTAAGCCAAGATCATGCACTACTGCACTCCAGCCTGGGCAACAGAGTGAGACTGTCTCATTAAAAAAAAAAAAAATTGCAGGCCGGGCGCGGTGGCTCAAGCCTGTAATCCCAGCACTTTGGGAGGCCGAGGCGGGTGGATCACGAGGTCAAGAGATCGAGACCATCCTGGTCAACACGGTGAAACCCCATCTCTACTAAAAATACAAAACATTAGCTGGGCATGGTGGCCCGTGCCTGTAATCCCAGCTACGCAGGAAGCTGAGGCAGGAGAATTGCCTGAACCCAGGAGGCGGAGGTTGCGGTGAGCCGAGATCGCGCCATTGCACTCCAGCCTGGGTAACGAGAGCGAAACTCCGTCCCAAAAAAAAAAAAAGAAAAAAGAAAAAAAGACTGCACACACACCAATCATAACCTTGTAAGTGCAGTTAGCTCAGTAAGTACAATATTTCCAAAAAGACAACTATGGGGAGAAAAACATGAAGATAACGACCAGCTCAGACCCAGCTGGGGCTTGTGACCACGCCTACCTGCTCCTGTGTGTCCCAGGCCTTAGGCAAGTCACCCATCGTCACCCCATTTCCTGTCTAAGCTGGGAATAGTTACGCTGCCTTCTCAGTTGTGGGGACCTAGAAGGCAGCGATGGGCTTCTGTCCCTAGGTTGCAGCCCGAAGCTGGCATGTAGTAGGATTAGGTCTGTGTCCAGCTGCCACACACACTACCTTACCAGGTGGCCTCAGGAGGCAGGAAAGGGTGATGGACCCATTTCACAGGGGGAAGAACCGAGGCAAAGTAAGGCAGTAGAGACTCATGCTTCTGCTTTAGTAGCTCCTGCCGTGGGCTTGACATGGGAACTCCTCCCACAAGCTCTGCCCCTGCTGTCCTGGGGCACTGTTAGCCTATGGAATCCATCTCTCCTCTTGGCCTGGTTCTCAGCAACCCTGGGAACTTTTAGAGCCTCTGGTTTATGCTAACTGAGGTTGGGTAGCTGCTGGCCAGAGCCCTAGAGAGAGAGTGTATCAGTTAGTGCTGGGTAACAGCCCCGAATGCATGGCTTCACATTTCCTTAGTATTAAAGGGCCTATGGCCTGGCCAGGCAGTACTGCTCTCAGTGTTGGGCCTGGCACGTCCTGGCTGGGCTCACTCACACATCTGTGGGCAGCTGGGAGCTTGGCTGGGAACTAGCTAAGCTAGTTGGCCTCAGCTCGGGTGACCCAGGCTCCATACGCCCTCTTGCCTTCCAGTAAAGCAGCCCAGCTCGTCGTTCTCATGCTGTAGCAGGAGCCAGAGAAAGCAGGCAGAGGCCCGCATGTCCCTGGAGGCCTAAGCTTAGAGCCAGCAATGTCACTGCTGTCACCTTTTATTGGCTACAGCAAGTCATAAGACAGGCTCAGATTGAAGGATGGGGAAGTAGACTCCACTTCTAGATAAGAGCTGGGACAAAGTCATAGAGCAAAGGGCATGGTGATTCAGGGAGGAATGGGGCATCGGGGTCATTTTTGTAATTGGTCTACCACAGAGGGGAGCCCCCCTTTGAGAAGGTCAGTGGTTGGGCCTTGGTGCTTAGGGAGCCACGAACCAACCTGCTAGATGGGGCCTTCAGGGGGGCAGCCAGATGTCAGTTTAGCCTCAGGACTCACTCAGCCTCCTGCAAGCCCATGTCTTGGGCAACATCGCATCCCCAGCTGCCTGCACAGAGTGGCTCTTCCAGAAAGTTTGTTGAATGACTGAGTGACCTAAGTCAGCTCCAGTGCCAGGCAGCCCAGAGGGACCATCCCAGAGCCTCCTTCTTGGGGTGCAAGCCCAGCTGGGCTTGGAGTTGGGGGTGTCTGCACTTGTGGGAGCCTCCCATGCCTGCCGGGAGCCTGAAGAGGCAGAGACCTCCTACCTCGCCCCCTCCGTGGGGACCCTTTTCCCCACACTTCTTGGTTCCTGTCGGAGCCAAGATGTGTCGCCATGGAAACTGCTTGGCAAACGCTGGCAGGCAGAGGCGGCCAACAGCAGCTTTCCTAATCGAGCTCCGGGCGCCGGCTGGAGCTCAGGACAGTGGTGTGAGCAAGCACACCTGGCTGTGGGTGTGACACGCGTGGGGACAGAAGCCAGGTGGCTGCAGGAGGGCGTGCGGGGAGGTTGGGGCGCTCCGGCGTGCGTGCTGCCACGTGTGTGCGTGTGTGCATGTGCGTGTGGGTGTGTGCATGCCTGTGCGTGTACCAACGGTGCAGCCGCATCAGGGCGTGTGTGCTCTGAGTGTGATGGCCGCGTGGGCCGGTGCAGGGGGTTTGCAGGCAGGGGGGTGTCCGAGTGTCGCCGTGACCTGCAGCAGCACAGCTGCCTGGATTGAGCACCCACTGTCGGCTGGACATTGCACCAGGTGCTGACAGGACTGGCAGAGGTGGCTGCTGCCCTCGTCCCCAGCCTGCAGTCCTGGGCGAAGGCCGACGCTGAACAGGTACGTGTAAGAGTTGCCAAAGTGCGTGCCAGGAGGGTCCTGGGAAGAGACGGCTGTGGGGCCCAAAGCCTAAATGTGGGGTGAGAAGCATTCAGGCCGCTGGTCCAGGTGGAAGGCATGGCCCAGGCAAGGGCTGGGAGGCCAGGGAGGAAAGGACAGAGTCTGGAGCCCAGGAGAAGCAGCGAGGGGCCATGGCCCTGAAGGAGGATAGGGCTTAATCTGAGTGGAGGAGGCCCAGCTGAGGGTGCAGGGTGCCAGGACAGCAGGGTGCCTTCTAGGCAGAGGGACCCTGGAGGTAGGAACTAGGGATGTGAGACCAGGGCAGACAGAGCCAGGGGGACGCAGCTGACAGCTGGAGCTGGTGAGATGTGGTCTTTGAAAGGCTTCTTCTTCGGGGCAAGTAGCTTGGAAAGGGGTGTGTGCAGGCCGAGGAGTCTGCAGCCAGCCTGGCTTGGGGGGCAGTTGAAAGCTATTTTGGAGGTTGATTAGATAGATGCCCCTTGGTGACAGTGGCACTTGGAGGAGGAGGGTAGGGCTGGCATGATGAGGATTCCTGGGATGGGAGGTGCTGAAGGAGAAGGTCTGGGTGCTTGTGGCACCCCCAGAGTTGTCTCACCAGGGGGCTGCTTCTGGAGCTCCCATAACAGGCGCTTGGCTCTCTGGGCACGTGCCTGGGTCTCCGGCCCCACAGGCTCCCTGAGCCCTGTCAGGCTGGGCAGGTGTGCAGCGCACTCAGCAGGCGCTGGAGATCCTGGCTTTTGTAGGCTTCTTCGGGCACCCCTGGGAGCCCAGACACCCAGCAGCTTCAAACTGTGAAGCCTCCAGAGGGGGCCAGGCATGTCCTTGGCACCCCTGGCTGTTCCTTGCTGCCCAAGTTCCCCTCTGTGGCTGGGGTTGCTGGAGACCTCCAAGGAGTAGGGGCTCCCTGCTCATTTTCACCCTGACTCCAGCTCTGGGGGTGTGGGAGGCAGAGGTGATGGCTCAGGAAGGTCTTGGCTGCTGCAGGCTGGCTCTGGCTACTTGGGCTATACCGCAGGGCCAGGGGTTCGGACACCTCGTGCTGGCCACAGAGCTGGGGCCTCTCATGCACCTTGCAGGCCTGCCCGACGGAGGCCCATGCACTCACTGGGGGCTCCTTCCCAGGGCGTACCCCCCATGGATGCTGCTGGGCCTCCCTAGCAACCCCACTGGCCAAGCCTGGGACCAGGCATGTCTGAGGACTCTGAGGGCGTTTCCCAGGTCCATGGTGTGGCCTTGGGTGAGCACCCTGGCCAAATCACCAGACACCAGGCCTTTGGGACCCCTGCATCCACCAAAACGGTGCTGACCCACAGGCACCAGGCAGCAAAGCCTTCAGATCAGAAACCTTCGAGGACCCTGAGTGCTGATTGTTTGCATCCCTGCCCACGGATGCCCCCTCATGGCCAATCCCGTCCATCTTAGAACCCAGTTTCAGAGCTGAGGATGCAGGGCTGGAGGGGGCACAGCTGAGCTTCAGGCCTGAAAACCCCAAGTCGGCCTGGCCAGCGCGTGCCTGACCATGGGCACCTGGAATGCAGAGGTACAATCATGGCTCACTGTAGCCTTGACCTCCCCAGGCTCAGATGATCCTCCCACCTCAGCCTCCCAGACAGCTGGGGCTACAGGCACATGCCACCATGCCCAGATAATTTTTAAATTTTTTTGTAGAGATGGGGGGGGTGGGTCTTGCTTTGCCCAGGCTGCTCTTGAACTCCTGGGCTCAAGAGATCCACCTGACTTGGCCTCCCAAAGTGCTGGGATTATAGACGTGAGCCACCTCACCCAGCCAAGCCTTTGTTATTCTTGTTGTTAGGGTCCCACTGCAGGGCTGTGGGGAGGTCTACAGGCAACTCAGAGTCAAGACAGACCCTGACAGGGACAGAGGTTGCAGGGAGCTGCCATCGGAGATTCACTCCCATGTGCCTGGCCCGTGTGTGTGTCTTTCCCTGTAGGAGAAGCTACATGTCCGGATTCTCCCAGGGCCCCTGACCACACAGCACAAGAGGGTAGGAAATGGGGATGGAGGGAGGAGGGAGATGGTGACAGAGAGTGAGGCTGAGAGAACAAGAGCCCCAAGACAGACAGAGAGAGATACAAACACAGAGAGACAGAGAGAGAGATGGGCAGACGGCCCCTCCCCCGGCCCTCAGCCTTGGCTGAGTCCACAGGGAGCCCCAACAGTGGGGGAGGGGTCTTGGGGGAGCGGGCTAAGGGCCCCACTGTATGTACTGGGGCTCTGACTTTGTACTGAGTGCCCCCCAGCCCCAGCCACCATGGCTGTTCTCTGGAGGGAACAAGGGCTTTCAGAGCTGGGGACCCGGCGTGAATACTAATCCAGAAGCTCAAAGGGCGGCCTCACAGGCTGGGCACGGGGAGGCTGGGCCGGGGCCAGGACCAGCTGAGCCTGTCTGGGAACTGGCCCTCCTCGGCCCCCACCCTGCAGTGGGATGCTCCTGGTGTTGGGGGGCTCCTGTTCTCCCCTCAGGTCTGAGATGGTCCCCAGCTACCCCAGGACAGGGTGCGGGGGGTACTGTAGCTCCGGCGGTCGGGGCTTTGGTGTCCAGCACCAATGACACTGGGTGGGCCCCCAGCACACAGTCCCTTGAAGAGTGGCTGCCCGGGAGATGTCAGGCCGATGGGAGGGTCCTTAGCTTTGCTTTGCGTTCCTACAGTGCTGCAATGACAGCTCCAGGAAAGCCCGGGGAAACTGAGGCATGGGCAGGGAGCCCATGTCAGGGCGGAGGCCTTGACTGTGCTCTGTGCTAGGATACCCCAAGTCCCACAGGCAGTGCTGGAGTCCGGCCCTGTGCGCCCTGCCTGTGCTGGAATTCATATCCCTTTGCCTCCCACCTGGACATCACCTGCTGCACCCAGGAGACCTCAGTGCCAGGCTGAGGAAACCCCTGCTTGGGCCATGTACGGCTCCCCTGCTGTGTTCCAAGCCCCTTTACCCCCAAGCCCCTGGCCCTCAGCAGCCCCGTCCCTGGAGGCGGCCTCATCTCTTCTTCAGCTTCTCTGGTGCTGCCCCACTTCCTGCACCCATCTTTGCCCAGAGCCCTGCACCAATTCTGACAGGCAGGCCTCTGCTCACTCGGTTCCTTCCACCTGGCACACCCCATCTCTGCCCTCGACCCGGGCTCATCTTGCTGTGCAGTGAAGCCAGCCTCAGCTCCATCCTCCTCTGTCCCCACAGCGGTATCTGCCCACACCCTTGCCTGCTGGCTTTGGAGCAGGGCCGAGCTGCAGAGAGGCCAAGTCCCTGTCCTGCGGCCCAGCGCCCGGCACACACAAGGGCTCGTGTTTGCTGAGTGAGCAGCTGCCGTTTCTCAGGCCTCTGTGTGCCAAGCACCCTGCGAGAGTGCTTCTCATCCTTGTAAAACCTGTGTGAAGCATTTTCCTCTTTTCCAATGTGGATGAGTTTCCTGTGGCTGCTGTGACAAATGACCACAATGGCATGCCTTCAAACGGCACACATTTACTGTCAGTTCTGGAGGGCAGAGATCCAAAGTCGAGGCTGGGGCAGAGCCAAACCTCCCCTGAGGGCTCCAGGGGAGGGTCCTTCCCGCCTCTTCCTGGAGCTTCTGCGGGCTCCAGGTGTCCCTGGCTTGTGGCTGCAGCCCTCTCATCTCCACCTTCTTCTGTGTCTCTGTGTCTTCTACTTTCTACCTGTTTTTAAAATTTTTTGTAGAGATGGGGGTCCCACTATGTTGCCCAGGCTGTTCGCCAACTCCTGGGCCCAGGTGATCCTCCTACCTTGGCTTCCCAAAGTGTTGGAGGTGACAGGCCTGAGCCACCTCGCCCAGCCTCTTTCTCTCTTTTTAAAAAATTGTTGGCTGGGTGCAGTTGCTCATTCCTGTAATCCCAGCACTTTGGGAGGCTGAGGCGGGTGGGTAACTTGAGGTCAGGAGTTCAAGACCAGCCTGGCCAACACAGTGAAACCCCATTTCTACTAAAAATACAAAAATTAGCCGGGTGTAGTGGCACGTGCCTGTAATCCCAGCTATTTGGGAGCCTGAGGCAGGAAAATCACTTGAAACTGGAAGGCAGAGGTTGCAGTGAGCCGAGATCACGTGACTGCATTCCAGCCTGGGTGAAAGAGTGAGACTCTGTCTCAAAAAAAAAACCAAATTGTTATTATTTTTTACATTGTCTTGTTTCTCCAATGGGGAGCCTCCTTCTGTCTCTTATAAAGTCACTTGCCATTGGATTTAGGGCCCCCCGACCCAGGGTGATCTCCTCTATATCTGCAAAAACTCGGTTTCCAAATAAGCTTCCATTCTGAGGGTGCAAGTGGGCACATCTTTTGGAAGCCACTATTTAACCCACTCTGGGGAAACTGAGGCAGGGGAGGACGCTGCTTCCCCAGACCACACAGCTCTCTTTTGACCCCAGGTCGGCCCCGGTCAGAGGATGGTGACGAGGATGAAGGTGGGAGCGGGCCCCTTTGTCCATCACTGAGAGGACAGGGGTCCCACATCACTGCCTCTTTATAGAATAGACTCTGATGAGGTGGCTTCAACCAGAGAAGGGTGATCAGTCTGCTGGCGTGGAGACCAATGTGTCCCGGGTACAGGGTGGCTGGGCGGACAGGGTGTTGGCTGCCTGAAGCCTTGGCTGGCGGGGGCCAGGTCATGAGCAGGCTGCCTCTGTGTTCCAGGGGTCCTGGCACCGGCCCCAGTGCCACCCATCTTGGGGCACCTAGGAGGGGCCCTGCTCATTTGGGCTTCCAATCTCCCAGGTTGACCCAACACACAGAGGAGGAGCGGTCACTCCAGGCTCAACACAGAATATCTTTTCCAGTGGATCCCACCCCTGTAGCTATTCAGAGGGGTGTAGGAGGATATTCCACAACTACTTTGTTGTTGTTGTTGTTTTTTGAGATGGAGTCTCACTCTGTCACCCAGGCTGGAGTGCAATGGTGTGATCTCAGCTTACTACAACCTCCACCTCCCAGGTTCAAGTGATTCTCCTGCCTCAGC